ATAAAGGCAGTCAGAGTGGGAGATAGATGGACAGGTTGGGGTAAAGAGTTCCAGAGGATGGGAGAGACTCTAGAGAGTGTCCCATCTCCCATATATGGAGAGAAGAGGCAGAATGCGGCGCATCATGGGCCATTTAATCACAGGTATACAAAGTACCCGCCCAGTAAGACGGCAAAGCTGACCCATCACATCCTTCACCTACTGTACATCTTTACTAGGATATGGCTTATACCTCCGCAAAGGGGCTCTGGGCCCAGCAAAATGTTTAAATGTAAAAGCCCACCAGTGGCTCTTGGTGCGGGCTGTTGCTGAGATTCTGATCTCCTGACCTGTGCTCAGCTGTCACATGAGCCCTACCAGTGGGGCACGAGAGCTGGTGTGGGAAATGCTGTATTTAAATTATTTTTATCTTTTCTTTGCAGCCTACGAGGGGCCATGGGGGTTATCATTATCCATTCCACAGGAAGAGAAGAAACACCGGGGAAGCTATGGGAGCTTAGACAGGACTGGGGTCTCTCTTCCTGCCCCCATGTGACATCGCTGGGTGCCTGAGAGGCCAATCAAAAATAATTCTTGGGGTCACATGAACGGAAGGGAGGTGTGTCACATGATCTTCCATACCTGACAGTACAGGGTATTTTCATAGTGAAGGGGAGGCGAGTGTTGCAGGGTAGGGGGGGCATTAAAGTTGCTTTGCCCTGTGAGGACACACACAGCACAGATTCACTTGAAGCTGCATGGAGTGTTCCAGAGATACATTCTCCCGTCTTATCACCTAAAGATAAAATCACATCATCTATGACCACATTAAAACTTCCGAATCATTGAGTGATGAGCAAGACACCCAGCCATTGATACTACAGGATGAATCTGATAGTTATGGACAATCCAAGGGGGTGTGGGGTGCTCATATCAGGATCAATAGAAAGGGTCTTTGAAAGCAGCAGACTCACATCTTCCGCCTGATTAACATTCATTGGGCAGGTTGGTGGCAGCTCATACACACGGCAATTATCAGCAGAGGACATCGGAAATTGTATGTATAGAGACAAACTTTTTTGGGGGTTTTGGATAAAGTAGGGAAGGGTTAAAAACCCATCAGTTTGCTGCCTGTGTGCTGGGGAAAAGTTTGGATTGTCAGTTCCGGAGTAGAGCGGGGTGACTTTGCCGTATACACAGCACCGCTGGGTCGTATGGAGTGTACGAAGGTCAAACTTCCTGTAAGAGTTATCGAAGGGTCTGAACTTTCACTTCCCTCTTCTGTTCCATCAGAGGCTCTGTAACCTCCACCCCCTGTATCCTCTCTGTGCCCTGTATCCTCTCTGTGCCTCTCTGTGCACATCAGACTCCCACCTTCTATATCCTCTCAATGACAGGAATACACTGAATTCCCACTTTCTGTACCCTCCCTGTGCCCGGGACACATTGAACCTCCTATATACTCCCTCTGCCCAGGACACATTGCCCGCCACCTTCTGTATGCTCCCTGTGCCCAGGACACATTGCCCGCCACCTTCTATATCCTCTCCGTGCCCGGGACACATTGCCCGCCACCTTCTATATCCTCTCCGTGCACGGGACACATTGCCCGCCACCTTCTATATCCTCTCCGTGCACGGGACACATTGAACTCCCACCTTCTGTATGCTCCCTGTGCCCGGGACACATTGAACTCCCACTTTCTGTACCCCCCCTGTGCCCGGGGCACATTGAATCTCCTATATACTCCCTGTGCCCAGGAAAGATTGCCCGCCACCTTCTATATCCTCTCCGTGCCCGGGACACATTGCCCGCCACCTTCTATATCCTCTCCGTGCACGGGACACATTGCCCGCCACCTTCTGTATGCTCCCTGTGCCCAGGACACATTGCCCGCCACCTTCTATATCCTCTCCGTGCCCAGGACACATAGCCCGCCACCTTCTATATCCTCCCTGTGCCCGGGACAAATTGCCCGCCACCTTCTGTATCCTCCCTGTGCCCGGGACACATTGAACACCCACTTTCTGTATCCTCCCTGTGCCCAGGACACATTGAACTCCCACCTTCTATAGCTTGCCGGTGCCCGGGACACATTGAACTCCCACCTTCTATATCCTCCCTGGGCCCGGGACACATTGAACACCCACTTTCTGTATCCTCCCTGTGCCCGGGACACATTGAACACCCACTTTCTGTATCCTCCCTGTGCCCAGGACACATTGAACTCCCACCTTCTATAGCTTGCCGGTGCCCGGGACACATTGAACTCCCACCTTCTATATCCTCCCTGTGCCCGGGACACATTGAACACCCACTTTCTGTATCCTCCCTGTGCCCGGGACACATTGAACTCCCACCTTCTATAGCTTGCCGGTGCCCGGGACACATTGCCCGCCACCTTCTGTATCCTCCCTGTGCCCGGGACACATTGAACTCCCACCTTCTATATCTTGCCTGTGCCCGGGACACATTGAAGACCCACCTCCTATATACTCCCTGTGCACAGGACACATTGCCCACCACTTTCTGTATCCTCCCTGTGCCGGGGACACATTGAACTTCCACTTTCTGTACCCTCCCTGTGCCCGGGACACATTGAACTTCCACTTTCTGTATCCTCCCTGTGCCCGGGACACATTGAACTTCCACTTTCTGTATCCTCTCTGTGTTGGGAAGGCCTTCACACTTCAAAGTATTGCAGAGATTGTACAATCAGATTGTAATATGTGAGGCGAGCTTTTCCTATGTCTGTCTCTTCTTTTAGAGGGTAAGCTCCTATGTTCTGGGTCCCATTTATAGTGTCTCAGGTATTTGTAGACAGGTGAACGCCATTTTGTAGACCCCGTATGTCCTCGCCTTGTACGGTGCTACAGAATATGATGTTGCTATATGACATAACAATAATAATGGACTCAGTATACACAACCTAAAGTCCCGCTGAGCCGGAGCATGCTGGGCCTTGTGTTCCCCCAATCCCTGGAGGTCGGTTTCCTTGGTACAGTTCCAGGATGGCGCAGCGGTGACTTGTATTATGTAATCTCGTCTATTAGTATACAGGAAGCGCAGAGTAAACAAGGGAGCGCCACAAGTGCACACATTACCACTGAGCAGATAGTGCTCGGGCTGTTCACTTACATTAGCAGGGTCCCCAGAGACCCAGAGCCCCGGGGTGGGGG